CGTCGCTGCCATCTCTGGCAAGGAATCAGAGATTGGCTCACTTCACACCGAGCACGCCGCTACTATCGCTCGCAAGGATGCAGAGCTCAAGAAAGCCCACGACGACTACGCCATCGCCATCTCTGGCAAGGAATCAGAGATTGGCTCAATCCACACCGAGCACGCCACTGCCATCTCTGGCAAGGAATCAGAGATTGGCTCACTCCACACCCAACACACCGCTGTCATAGCCCGCAAAGATGAGGAGCTTGAAGCACTGCGTAAAGACCTCGACATGGCCAAGCTCAACAAGCAACCATCCTCAACCGATGGTCTGAAAGTCCTTGTCGATTCACAGCAAGAGACAATCCTTTCCATGACAAATGAGTGGAATGCAGTCTACGGCATCATCGAAAACGTCAACATGTGCCTGCCATCCGTCCTGAAGAGGTTGGGCAAGCCTTTGAACGATCGCCTTCCAGAGATAAGGGCCAGAATGCGACGCGACTCTGAATGTAAGCTCAGAATATTCTTTACCAAAATACCCCTACTAATTAATTGATAGTCAGGCCTGCGGAGCACCTGGGTGACCTTGAGACTGCGATGAAGATACGTCGTGGACGGTATGAGCTGGAAGGAACGTTCGATCACCAGTGGGAGTTCTTGAAGAAGTTTGTTCCTGCACTTGTGGAGGCTCATCCCGACGTCAAAGAGCTGGCTAAGGCCATTGATGACACTTTTGACCGGCTTGAGGAGCAGGTGGTCCAACCCACCAAGGCGCCTACAATCGCGCCCGCCCCAGCGAAGGCGACCCCAGAGAAGCCCCCGAAAGATACATGTGCCTGCAAGTATCGTTTCTTGGTGACGGATAGCCAGGATGCCTGCCGCGACCATCTCGACGGGTGCGATGACTTCGCGAAATGGACCCCCGAGAAGAAGAAAAGCCTTCTGGGTAAGCTCGATTTGACTGGCTACCAGCAGCCGAAGCAGACAAAGCCGAAGGCAGAGTCGATTACGTGCTGGCACTGCGAGCGTGAATTCGACAAAGCACACGGGCAATGGTTCCACGGCTCTCATGTCAAGGTAACATTATCCTAAACAATATCTATTCAGTGCATTGCTAACATACATGCGTTCTAGGTCTGCAAAAGGGGCGCCCCCAGCTTCGATGATGTCCCCGGCTCGAGCACACCAGGACCGAAGACTCCCGTCACCACACCTTCCAGACGCGCCCCCGTGATCGAGCACGGCTGGCAGAATACCGGGTCAGCGAAGAAGGCAGAGACATCAGACTTTGTTTCTAGTGGCATGGGGAGCAGCAAGTATGCGCGCCGATAGATTCTACAAGGCTCTAGGTCCTTGGCCCGTGGAAGGGAGCAAGGACATTGAGTAGAAAGAAAGAGACGGAGACTATACCAATCAGTGCGACACCACTAAACTGGGTGTCGTCATTGATGGCGAGGTATAGGACGGATACAGTGCAATGGACGACGATGATTTTGTTGGATTGTTTTGGGTTTGCGATGGCGTTGATGGAGCAGTTAGTGTTTCGATACCCGTAGGATAATCTCAAAGTTTGACAGCACACACGGGTAACAAAGCCTATACAAATCAATAGTTCAGGTACCTGGGATTCCGTGACTTTGGCTACAGCAGTGATGAGGGTATCGGTGTCTTCCTGGACTAGTGCGGTGTTCGATTGGGATCTTCGCGCACTCTAACTGCAAGATGCTGGTGTGCGAGGCTGGTTGTCAGACCTCTGCACTGCATTGGGCGGTAAGAGCATATTCCGTTGAGTAGCTTCTCGTCGTTAGGTAATGGATGTCAGGTTGGCCACATCGAGCAGTGGCGGTGAAGGAGAACATTGTGCGCAGCTCTTTCAAGTGGGCTCGTCGAAACATACTGAGTAGTTGTCTTCTTGTCGACAAGTACCGAACTGGCAAGTGCGGCTCCAGCCTGTCAGGCAAGCTGGCGTTGGCGTTGCCAGGCCGAGTCACGACAGCGAAGAGCCACTGTGACTATGACTCCACTTCGACTGTCTGGACGCATGGAATAGGCTTCTTCGCTGTGGAGACGCCGCTGGGAATCGACTCGCAACGAGAATAGGGGACACCCACGACGCAGGTCCGCGGCTTCGCGCGAAGGTAAGTTCCGCGTTCGATAGACCGGCCAGTCCATCTCGTCACGTTGTCACAAATCTCGTCATCAGCACCAGTCTTTTCAAGGACGAAATCGAATCCTAGCAGCTGGAATGCGATTGGCGAAACATCCAAGCATCGCCACATCTGGGTATGATGGCAGATCTCCAGGGATCCAGAACCGTAGCATAAACTTATTTGTTTGTTTGCAACGGACGACAGGGTCTCCGAACCCCAAAAGGGATGTGCCAGAAACGACGATGCGAATGTTGCCGGGTCGTTAGTAAGGAAGAGGCTCATGCGCAATTAAAGCTTGAGTAGTCGGGCAGTCCTAGGCCAAAGTCGTCGGTCGGCAAGCTCAGGTACCACTCCAAACTTTATGGCGCACAGGCCGGATCGATTTAGCCGGCTGCCGCGGTGCACCTGGACAGAGGTAAGCATTGTGTAGCTATTTTCGATGCGACGTCTCTTCGTTATCGCAGCTGCTGATGAGAATCTCTGTTGGGAGAGGCGGAGGATGACGGATGTCAGTCGCGATGGTGCTGGTGGTGGCTGAAACAAGCCTAGCGGCACTCCTGGAACGGCGGATTCCACCACCTAACTGCAGCCAAGATAGCCGACCTCACGAACTCCTGCTTGCGCTACCACCCACATCGGTGTGCGACTCGACGACATCACGAATAAAGGATGCGCTAATGCTACTATTTTCCCCTCGAACGACCCGAGCTCAATCCACTTTAGTTTCAAGGCCGCAAGGCTGCACATTCGCACGGTGCGGAGAAGCCAGGCTAACCTTCCCTCCCTGCGCACATCGGGGCATCTCCCGCAACTCTAACCTGCTTTACCCTCACTCTACCCTGCGCAGCTCAGGCATCTCCCGTCTACCTGCCGTCGATCCCGCAGCAGATAGCGTGAAACCGACAATCTAGACAACCCTTCATCACTCTTTCAATAGAGTCACTATGTTTCGAAACGAAGCTACTGTGAGGCTCGCCACCATCATGCTCAGGGGCCACTCTGGTCACTGACTACGGCTGTCTACTACCTACGAAAGGTCTACCATGCGACTCAGAACCCTCGAGTATAAGACCTCATGTTCCCAGCGCCAAAAGTAAAAAGGCATCAGCTTTGATCTCATCTACTTCACACTTTCGCTTTCAGCAACCAACAACACTTTCGTTACTACTACTACTCGACTTTATTAGTCCTTACTATCGTTTGTGCAGAGCACTTCACTTCTATCACATTTTTACTCGATCTCATATCGCCAATCGTCCAATACTCGACTTTCGTCAAACACATAAACAACAACAACAACAGCAAACATGAAGTTCCAAATCGCTCAGGTTCTTGCTATCGCTAGCATCGCTACTGCTCTCCCTACCAACTACGGCTCCGGCTCTGGCACCACCCCAGCTGCTCCCATCACCACTGGAACTTCTCCCAGCTACGGATCTGGCTCCAGCTCAGGCCCCAGCTACGACTCTGGTGCTTCCGATGAGACTCCCAGCAGCGGCAGCGGTGGAAAGCCCAGCTACGGCGGCGGCATTGGTGCCGGTCTTCCTGGACTCGGTGGCTCTTCTGGAGGCAAGGGCGGCCTCGGTGGCATGATCGGTGGCTTCATGCCCGGCGGCGGCAAGCTTCCTGGCCTCGGTGGCTCTGCTGGTGGCAAGCTCCCTGGCATCGGTGGTGGCCTTGCTATCCCCGGCATTGGCGGCGCTGCTGGTGCTGGAGGTGCTGCTGGTGGCAAGGGCGGACTCGGCGGCTTCGGTGGCCTCATGGGCGGACTTGGCGGCGCTGGCAAGGGCGGACTCGGTGGCCTCGGCGGCCTCATGGGCGGAATCGGCGGTGGTGCTCACGGTGGTGCCAACGGCGGTGCTCACGGAGGTGCTGGTGCCGGTGTAGGAGGAGGTGCTGGTGCTGGTGTCGGTGGCTCCGTTGGTGGAGGTGCCCACGGCGGTGCTGGTGCTGGTGTTGGTGGAGGAGCTGGTGCCGGCGTCGGTGGCTCAGTCGGTGGTGGAGCAAACGGTTCTGTCGGCGGTGGTGCCAACGGCGGTGTTGGTGCTGGTGTCGGCGGTGGTGCATCTGGATCCGTCGGTGGAGGTGTAGGCGGCTCCGTTGGAGGTGGTGCCAACGGCGGTGCTGGTGCTGGTGTCGGTGGCTCTGTTGGAGGTGGTGCTTCCGGCTCTGTCGGAGGTGGCGCTAACGGAGGTGCTGGTGCTGGTGTCGGTGGCTCAGTCGGTGGTGGTGCTGGTGTTGGCGGTTCCGTCGGCGGTGGTGCCAACGGCGGTGTTGGTGCTGGTATCGGTGGCGGTGCTCACGGCGGTGCCGGTGTTGGTGCTGGCGTCGGCGGCGGTGCTCACGGTGGTGCTGGTGCCGGTGTTGGCGGCTCTGTTGGAGGTGGTGTTCACGGCGGTGCTGGTGTCGGTGCCGGTGCTGGTGGTAACGCTGGTGCCGGTGTTGGCGGCTCTGTTGGTGGCGGTGCTTCCGGATCTGTTGGCGGTGGTGCTGGTGCCGGTGCTGGTGGCTCTGGCTCAGTTGGAGGTGGTGCTTCGGGCGGTGCCTCTGGCTCTGTTGGAGGCGGTGCTTCCGGCTCTGGATCTGGCTCCGGCTCTGGCTCCCACTACTAAGCGGTCGTTGCTGAAGCATCACGCATGCTTCTTGTACATTAGACTCTGGATTGGACGAACGTTAGGATTCGAGATATGACTTTTAATTCATCACTTTACTTAAAACCTTTACTCTTTTGCAACCTACTTTGATCCTCTATGCTTCCTTGACTCAGACGAAGAAACTCCTTCTATCAGTAATTCTCATAGCTTCAGGTAAGCGGCAGACTCAGAAACAACACAGTGTTATCCATCGTTGCCACTGAGTCAGCCCTTACTCCAACATACCCAGCACAGCCTCCCAAGGCCTCAACTCCAGCTTCCCACTCTTCGCCTTCCCATCCAATTGCCTCTCATCATAGTTGCCAGCAACCCACTTCTTCACTTTCAAGTCGCCCATCTTCTCCCATACTGTTTGTTCTCCACTGAAGTTCAGCACAGTGATGAAAGCATTCTTGTCACTCCACCGCCGATAGGCAACGACCTTCTGATCCTCCATATCAAGCATCTCGAAATCACCGTACACGAAGACGTCCTTGTTCTCCTTGCGACACTCGAGACCGCGCTTCCAGAATGCGCGAACGGAGAGCATACCGGGCGAGGGTTCAGGATTTGCAAGTTGAGCTGCGGCGTTGATGCTGGGATAGTCGTCGTTGACGCGCATCCAGGGCTTTCCGCTGGTGAAACCGGCTTGGGCGGATGAGTCCCATTGCATGGGTGTTCTGGCGCTGTCGCGAGCTTTGCGTTGCTGTATAATTAAGAATAAGTAGTCAGCTTATGTCTCATTTCCTATCGCAGATCGTGCACCCTGGACTTACCATGATCTTGGCTGCTAGGGCCTGCTTTTCTGCATTGCCGGGGTAGAGGTCGCGGTACTTTTTGAAGAAGTTTATGCTTTCAATGTCCTTGTACTCCTCGGGTTTCCACTCTTTAGGCACGTTGCGCATGCCAATCTCCTCGCCTTGGTAAACGTATAACGTTCCGGCGAGGGTAGTCTGCATTAGGCACAACAATTTTGCGCCATACTCGCGCCACTGGTCGCTGTCATCGGTGAACCTACTTACACTCCGAGGCTGGTCATGGTTTTCCACGTAGAGCGAGTTCCAGCCGTCGCGCTCGAGCATCAGGCGCTGCAGCCTGTTCACGATCTTCTTCAGGTCCCGCGCATCCCATGGCTGTAGAGTATATTTGAAATCGCCGGGTACATTGTCGATATCCACCAAGTCGAAGACGAAGATCATGTTCAGCTCTTCGTTTTCGGCACCGACGACTTTGATTACTTCGTCATCATCGCGGACGAATGGCATTTCTCCGACAGTGAGCGTATCGTATTTCGAGAGCACATCGCGCCGAAGTTCCTTCAACCACTCGTGTAGTCTTGGGCCGTTGGCGTAATACTTGTCGCCAGGCTGGTACTTGTTGTCTTTGACCGAGATGGCCGCATCCGGGAATGTCTGAACCTTCGATATCATGTTGATGACATCCATGCGGAATCCAGAGACACCCTTGTCGAGCCAAAAGCGCAGAATATCATGTACGGCTGCGCGCACATCGGGGTTTTCCCAGTTGAGATCCGGCTGTTCGGGCGTGAAGAGCGATAGATAGTACTCCTGAGTCTTCTCATCCCAGGTCCACGCAGAGTTGGCCTCTCCTAGGATCTGCGCCCAGTTGTTTGGAGGCAGGCGATTTCCATCAGCATCGTACTTTGCAGGCTTCCAGATATACCAGTCGCGTTTCGATGATTCCTTTGATGATCGCGAGTCCAGAAACCATGCATGCTCTTCCGATGTATGGTTGACGACAAGGTCCATGACGAGTTTCATGTCGCGCTTTTTGACTTCTTTGATGAGGTTGTCAACGTCGGCTAAGGTGCCATAGCTGGGATCGATATCCTCATAGTCTGCAATGTCGTACCCCATATCCGCTACACAAACTCAGCATCTGGCTCACATACATCTTGCCCACTCAAGAATTACCTTGCGGGCTCTTGTAGATTGGCGAGACCCATATTACGTCCACACCGAGGTCTTTCAGGTAGTCGAGCTTTTGGGTGATGCCAGGGACGTCACCCCAGCCATCACCGTTACTGTCTAGAAACGAAGCAGGGTAGATCTGGTATCTTGTCAATGTCTGCATCGGCATAATGATGGGTCGTCCATACCTGGTATACCACCGCTTCTTTCCACCAGCGGTGCTTGTTGGTTCCGACATGCAGGTCTTTCTTTTGCGACATTCTGGAAATTCACCTGATGAATAGAGGCGTGGTGTTGTGAGGTTTCGTTGTTTTTAGCATTGCGAGATGCGGTGCATAGTGGTTCACGTCATAGCCGTATGTGGGCCGAGCCAGTCGCGATGGCCAACAGATGTAGTGCATCTCAACGCGTGGGTATCTACGTGGGGCGCGTCAACCCGATGTCGCGGGGTAGCCGTTGTGCCGACACCCAGCCACTCAGACGGCGACACCAACCTCCCCATGGTATTCTCCATTTCGATGCATCTCCAGATGTGCTTTCAGTAGTAACGTGCATTGTGACCTGGGGGCATTCGCGCAATATGGTAGATACTGTGAAGATCGCGTTGGCTGGCGTAGCTCACGCGCCAAAATACGTCACCAAGCGGCTGCACGGCTAGGCACGCGACCTCCTACCCTCCACAGAAACCGGATGAATGCTACCGTGCAACACGTACCTACAGCATCACTCCATGTTACCCTCGTGCTCTTAAAGCTTCAGGAACCCCACCGAATCCGGTCCGATAACACCAGCGACCAGCTAACACTGAAACCACGAGAGCTTCAGGAGCTATGACGTACGACAACGACGCTGAGGAAAGAGGCACGTCCGGCTCGCGCACCCCACTCCTAGGGAGATCAGCGCATCAGAGGATAGGACAGGAAAATGAAGGACCTGAATGGACCTTTACGAGTGTGCTACAATTCTTTGGTGGTGGCATCTATGCTCCCGACTCCACCACGTATGACCCCCTGGAGATTTTGCTCAACACCGAAGACGCAGACGAAAAAGACGAACTCACCACGTTATGGCGAGACAACAAGCTCAGTGAGCTCAACTTCGTCGGCGTTGTGGTAAGTCTCCGAACATCTCTTTCCAAGGTCAATACACCCGGCGCCGTGCCTTCCACGCCGGATCGTGACATGGCTAGAACGGGCACCGTCGGTTGCATTGGCTTTCCTCAATCAATATCAACGCTCTCGATAGCATCCGACATGCTAATACATGACAGGCCGCCCTTTTAGCTGGCGTTCTCACGTCCACCGGAAGCTGGCCGAACATCTTGCCAAATGGGAAGGAATCGCCATGGTCTGTGCGCACATCGTGGTACTGCGGTATCATATTGTCGCTTTTCAGCATCCTTACAGCTGCTGATCAGACCGTACGACTGCACCGCCTTTCATCACATCGCGATGGATTGGCCAATATTCGAAAACTGATTGCCAAAACGAATGGCGAGAAGAGCCACTCATCTAAGACTGGACGTCGGACACCTAGCTTACTACAAATCGTCACATGGCAAATGCCAGTGATGTTTTTGACCTCCGCTACTGTCTGCATGGTCGTTGGAATGTTTTTGCATGTCTGGTCGGCGACCACACACCTGCACCATCCAACACTGTGGGACGATAATACCAAGGTACGTTCGTATGATGTTCGTTCTACATAATGTTCTGACTCGTCCAAAAGGTTGCCGTCACGTTCAGTACTGTCGCTATCCTCGCAATGACGCTGTTCTTCGTCGGTCAGATTTCGCTTTACTCTCCAATTCGACAATGATGTCATACCCACGGACAGATGTTGAACAGATCTGAAATTTTGGGGGAGCCCATACTCGGCTTAGGCCTTCGAAGGCCTTCCTTCGTACCACTATAAAGACGATTTTTCAGCAATTTGGTTCCAATTCCACGAGTGTTTCTTCATTACTCGACTACTAGCAACTCCCATTCTGATTGTCGTGCTTGCGCTGGCCTCCGCAGTGTCGTTTGCTCAGTGCGCATGACCTAATCACGCAATTAATTCAAGGGTATAAAGCGACGGAAAGCGCCTCCTCAGGACTTTTGTACCCAGTTACTCTGCGGTTCATCAGGCAAACGCATTGTTTAACGCCCATGCTCACCTATTTCACTACTCGAACGAAGTGCCCTCCGTCATTGCGGGGTTTCCCCTTCTACAGATAGGGCTTGGCTCGCGAACTCCCACGCGACTAATACAAATTTCTATATTAGCTCACCGCATTTGTTATATACCTTCCTTACAGACTCAACTACGACCTTTATATCACAACGTCTTCCCCCACACCAGCGATTTCTTATACACAATCCGCTCAAGCAACATCTCATGGCGACGGTATCAACAGCGGGCTCGTACGAGCAATACAAGCTTGATACCAAGCGCTTCATCTTCTGGCTCATCGACACTGCGAAGAAGCGGGACTACGACATCGCTGATCCAGCCAAAACCCAGCAACCCTCGAGACGGCTGAAAGGCCAAGCGAGGACGCAAGCAAAGCAAGCGACCAACCAAGCGACCGCGTCGAAGACCAACTATGTTATCTCGACGGAAAAGATCCTGGACTTGGCAAATCATATCGCAGACCATAAGGAGACCTCGACAATGCCCAAGTTTGTTTGGTACTCCTACAAGCGGGCTGTGAGAACGCGCCAAGCCTACGCCGACCGCTATGCTCAGGAAGAACTGTCGGAGACGGCCTCGGACGATGGCCACATCTACTTCTTGTGGCTGTTGAAACACTGTCACACCATCCTAAAGAAGAAGATCGCAGTGCAGGCGGTCAGCCGACCGGAGACTGCAGCACCTGCGCAACTTCGATTTAACATCGCGACTGAACCGAAATCAGCGCCATCTCTCCTTCCGGTACCCGAATCCGCATCACAGGCTGTTGATAACAGTCAGGAAACCGCATCGGAAGAAATCACCGCTGCTGAGGCCGAACGAGAAGCAAAAGGTCACAAGCTGGATGAGCTGGCTCGGAAATTTGAGCTCGATATGAAGATCAAACAAGACGCGGAGGCTGAACTTGAAACGGAGAGGAAAGCCAAAGAAGAGATCGCTTTGAGGAAGTCTTGTCTAGCGGACGATATGCGCATCATCGTCGAGCAGCTGGAGTCCGACTGGAACGACACTCACAAGGCCGATGGCGATGAAGATTACTTGGATGAGACCCGAGCTACTCTCATGACCGAAGCTGCGTTCCACCTCATACGCCACAAGGAAGAGGCCTTGGTAAAAGAGGCTCATGAGAAAGGGCTGCCGCCATTCGATCCCTCTCTCGATGACGATGACTTCTTCGGCAAGACCTCAAAAGCGCTCAGAAAGATCGAGGCGGAGCGACGTTCACAACCAGGAGAATATTTGTTCTTGGCATCGCGGTCGATCATCCAAGATGATGTTGCGAACCGGCATTCAAACGAGGACTACGACTTCCTTGTTCACTACTTGTTTGAAGCCGCACTGGAACCAGTAAGTCTTCCTTGGTCCACCCAAGGTCTGATCCATAAACCCACTGATTACTGACCATTTTATAGCAAGCTAGAAGGTCACATGAGGAACAGTACCAGATGCCACTACTAGCAGGATCATTAGACGCTTTGTCTCGCGCATACGGGTCGCTAGGTTCTTTCGGCTTCATCTCAATGGTGTTCATATTCGCCGCCGAGTTGATGATCAGAATTCGAACGAAAGACCAAAACCGTTCGCTGAGGGATTACATACCAATGTCACGACGGGCGAGGGATGAAGAAGCCCAGTTCGCATCTTGGCATGAACGGGGAATCCGCTTCCCACATCTACTTCAGCAAGTCACAGACTCAGGGTACACACACCGAGGTCTGATCTTAGACCGGCCATTCTCTCATGCCCGGTACGCTAAGATGTGGAAGTTGCCGCGTGATCATCTATTCTACGGTTTGCAGGACGACTACCCGTGGCCTGTGGGTCTCGAAGTGAGCAACGTCATCGAAAAACATGGCGACAGGTCTGCGCGCCAAGTGGCCGCCGCTCGGTACATTCTTCCACCACGGGACGGCGATTTCTTGCGTAACACCATTCCGACTCTGAGAGCGAAGCTTTCCCTGGTTCACCTTTTGCTACGCGAGGAAATGGGACTCGGCTTTGCCAATCTCAGCCCGCAAATCTTCGCCATAGCCCATCTTTACAACTGCTTCCAAAAGCGGGGCTGGATCAGCGGATTCTGGCCGGAGCTTGACCTCATCATGGACCGGCATTCGAAGAAGATCTTCTCCACCGCAATACCCACGAAGCCAGATGAATTCTACTCGCGCCTACTGCTTGTAGCCGGGTACTCAACCACGTTCATCAAGAAAACTCGGAATGCGGACAAGGACGTTTACAGTCGCCGCGATTTTGGGAAAGGCACCCACAAGACGTGCGAGTTGGAACCGCTTCCGATGACGAAGATTCTCCGCGACTATGTCCACCAGAGGGAAACGGGAGTGCGCACCTGGTATCGCATGGATGAGGAGATGGCCAAGCACAGTAAAGTCTCTTCGCGGACACAAGGTTCTGGCGACCTGAACATCTTGTCATTCATCAAAGAGCTTCGCAACTCAGAAGAGCTTCCTCGTGTTCTAAACCGCCTGGAATTCGACTACATCAGTCTGACGCTGCAATGCAACGAGGTTTGCGAAAAGATCGATACCGAACAAGCAAGGTTTAGCGCCAGCGGAGAGAGAGTTCACAAACAGGCGGACTGGAAGTCGCCTACCAGCGACGGGTTCATGGTTGTGGCAACGCTCCTCGGAGATCTCGACCGCGTTGTGATGAAGAAGAAGCGCAATCCCAAGGGAAACATGGACATGGCAGATACGACCATTGTTGTTGACGCAGCTGTTCGAGTGATGCAAGACTTTCTGGATGGGCTGAAGAAGTAGGAGAAGAGGCGGACGGTCTGATTAGGCAGTTGACTTGAACAATGATACCCCAAATAGCATCTTCGCGGAGTAACTCGGATAGACCGTTATTGGAAAACTTCCCGTATAGCAACAATGCATCAAATCTCTGACCCCACACCATCTTCGCTTCATGGCTGGTTCACTGCACTGATATCAGACCGGCTCCCCACCTGTGTAACAATTCAGCTCATCACATCTGTCGTGTAAAACTTACTCCGCATCTCTGCAACCCGGTTGAGGTCCCAAAATCCACATCCGCCAATCACATCGTGGCACACGGGCTGCGGCTGACTGATGGCTCGGGATCACGACGCCACTAATAAAGCTTCGTATATGCACTCCAGAACTACAGTGCCCGTGGAATGGTGTGATAGTTTCCCGCGCCGGCTGGATCGCTGGGAGCCAGAAGTGTCGAGAAAGCTTAAATTGGAGCTAGAGTCTCGTGTGGTGGTGCCAGTGAAGTGTCTCAACCTCATCCTTCTGCAACATGCGTCTTCTCAACCTCTATTCCGCTAGTCTTTTCTTGTTCGGTGCAGCATCTGCGTACGGCTATCCAAGCAATTCGTGTGAAGATTTGGCCTTGGTACTGCCTAACCGCACCTTCTTCCCCGCAGCATCGACCTACAACGCATCTATCCAATCGTATCCATTCCTTCAGCTTCGGCTGCGACCATCGTGCATCGTCCGCCCAACATCCGCAAAAGATGTAGCAATCGCCATCAATATTCTGCGAGTGAGCAACAGCACCAAGTTTGCGATCAAAGGCGGTGGTCATAACGCGAACGCCGGCTTCAACAACATCGATGATGGCGTCACAATCGACATGCAGAGCATGAACAAGGTTGAAGTTGCGCGAGGAGATCAAGTTGTGAGGGTTGGCGCGGGGGCGCTGTGGCAGGACGTATACAACGAGGCTGAGAAGCGGAAACTGACGGTACTTGGGGGTCGCATCGGCGTCGTGGGAACAGCTGGCTTTCTGACTGGAGGTAAGCTGAGATTCTTGTAACCAATCTTTGAAACTAGGAGACTTACCAACAATGCGCAGGTGGAATTTCTTTCTTCAGCCCAGAGCGCGGATGGGCATGTGACGGCGTCGTCAACTTCGAAGTTGTACTCGCCAGCGGGAAAATTGTCAATGCCAACGCTACATCGCACTCTGATCTCTTCGCGGCGCTCAAAGGAGGGCAGCTCAACTTCGGTATCGTGTCGCGCTTTGACCTGAATGCCTTCCCTGCTGGTCCCATCTATGGTGGAAGAATCGTTTTCGGGCCAAATGCCACGACGCCTTTGCTTTCTGCATTTACCAATTTCAAGCTCGGGGAATATGATCCATATGCAGCGGGCTGGGTCACTGTGCGATACAACCATACGGCAGCGACGTTCACTCCAGTGAGCATCATGTGGTACACACGGCCAGCGCAAAGGCCTGGGGCACTGAAGGCGATTTTCGAGACCAAGCCGCAAGTCATAAATGGCATGGTTGAAGCTCCGATCAGTGAGCATACCAGGAATGCGTCGAGACAAGTGGCTGCAAACCCTCAGCGCACCATCTGGGCAACGACCTCTTTCGCCGTCTCACCGACGATCATTCATCGCATCCACAGTTTGTGGAAAGAAGTCGTCCCGGAGATTGCGGCACAGTACGCCTACGCCAAACCAGTCGCGGAGATAACATTCCAGGCTCTTCCTGCACCCCCTCGCAATGGCACATCGCCCAATAGCTTAGGCTTTGAACCAGACGAAACGCCAGAGAAGGATCTGGTATTCTTGCAGATAATCTTCACATTTGAGGACGCTGCCGCTACCGATGGTTTCGAAGAGGCTTTGAAGGACTTGGTAAAGCTAGTTGAAGGCCTGACGAAGGAAGAGGGTGTCTTCCATCGATACAAGTATCTCAACTTCGCAGCATCGTTTCAGGATCCGCTGGGAAGCTATGGCGGAGTTGAGTTAGGAAGGATGAAGGAAGTGGCGAGGAAGTACGATCCAACGGATGTTTTCCAGACCCACGTGCCGGGAGGGTTCAAGCTGTTTTGATACATGGCGCGAATGTGAGGAGCAACGGGCGTGAAGACGTCGCGGGCGCGTCGGTGGGGTGGCTGGGACGCGTCCACGCCCGCGGGTGCGGGCGACATCGTCCAAACCCAAACTGGCTAGTGCAGGGGTGAGCTCCATCAAACGTACGCAACCACGACCGCCGTCATTTCATTAGAAAATTGCGTCCAATATATTGAATTCGTTGCTCGTTGCTATGAACTCTGGGCGATGTATCAGTGTCATTAAATATGGAAAGTTCCAAAGAAGGCGGATGTCAAGACGTTCCGCTGAGCCGCGCGCGATGCTGGCGATTTAAACGCAAATGAGTACGTGTAACTGCTCCCGTGGTCTGAGTTCGCAAGACGATGGTTGATTGAGGCCGCACAAGGACGATCTTTATCAATGATGGCGACTAGTATCGCTTCCAGCCTTACTTTATTACCATACTGAACGCTTTCCCGAGGTCCTCGGATGGCACGGGGGACGTCACGAACGACACGTTCCCTCAACTCTTAATACCATTTGCAGGATCGCCGACAACCTACTGCTGTCTGTCTGTCTAGATTGGTCGGATCGAGAGGAAATGGAGACAGTGAAGGGCCCATGTAAGTGGCGGCTCACATTCACTGTCATGGGAAGCGCCTAGCAAATTCTCTCACTGAAAGTACTCTGTAGCACGGCCACAATATCCATACAACTCTCGGGAAAGTATTTGCCATAGGCAGCCGCGTTGCGCATCGCAAGTTCTTCCTCTCGCCACATCAACCCAGCTGTAGGTACAGATCTTCAATTACAGTCAACCTTGGAACACATCAACAACCGCCTCACAAAGTCCACGGGTTATCAACATCCACTTGCAGCCCTCGATCAGCCTTTCAAGACCTCGAAATCCGCAGTCACACCCATACCTCGGCAGTTTACTTTACCAACCGCGCACATTTCCCGTGTTAAGATGGATCCTGTGACCATCGTTCTTTGGGTGTTCGTAGCCCTGCTGGAGATTTGGCTAGTCTTCGCACTCGCCTACGCCGGACTGCAGAGATACGATGGACGGAACTTCTTCGAACGATTCGTGGCCGCTTTGCTATTCCGGTTGTAGACGACGGAGTGGAACGAGGGTGACGCATGAAGCTGGATGGAGAACACACTTGGGGGAAATGGGGCGTTGCTAAAAATGAAGTGGAGTCGTTGTGATACCACATAGCGTATACGTCGACGGGATATCACGCAGTAGGGCCAGATATAGGCTGGATGTGAAGGAACTCTATATTTGTTACATGTCCCTACAACTGCAGTTCGTTCACCATTTCCTCCCCTGCCAACCCCGCGAGCAAATTCTTGACACTCTCCGTAGCCATCTGTACCCGTGTCTCAATCGTAGCGCTCCCAATATGCGGCACAAGCACAGCTCTTGGCTGCTTCAAGATCGGGTGATCAGCTGTGATGTTGGGCTCATTCTCAATCACGTCCAACCCAGCACCAAATATCTGCTCTTGATCCAGTGCCGTCACCAGTGCATCAGTGTCGATGATGGGGCCGCGCGCAATGTTGACGATAACGGCGAGCTTCTTCATCTTAGAGAAGAACTCTGTGCTTACGAGATGCTTGGTTTCTGGCGTGAGGGCGCATCCTACAACGACTACGTCGCTCTCTTGTGCGAGTTGGTCGATACTGTTCGCCGGCTCGATGGGGATAGTAGCGTTCTCGATGAGGCTAAAGTGATCCTCTTTGACAGGCTTGCCAGGCTTGGACGTGAGATAGATGACCTTCTTGATGCCGAACGGCAGTAATCTCAGCAACGAAGCCTGAGCAATCCTTCCGAATCCCAAGAAGCCGATAGTTGATCCTCGGATCTGCGGGCCCGTCATGAGCAGGGGATGCCATGGCATCTGAGGCCATTCGCCCTTTGCGACTTTCGTCATCGACTCTCCACCTCTTCTTTGGGCCATGAGAATGAGCATGATGGTGAGGTCCGCTACGGCGTCGGTGAGACATGTTGGTGTGTAGCCGAGACGTACGTCGCGTTTCTTCAGCGCGTTTCGGTCGACATGGTCGGTTCCGACGGAGAATGAAGCGATGGCTTTCAGTTGCGATCCGGCTGCTTCTAATAGCTCTTCATCGACCTTGTCTGTGAGCATGACTAGTATTCCGGTTGCACCTTTAGCATTTTCGAGAAGCCATGGGCGCGGACATGGCTGCATGCATTTCGTCAGCAACACGTCTTTATCGCCAATTATGGACACTCACCTTTTCGGATTGCCATTGCACGACTTCCAAATCTTCCTTCTTCGCATCGAGCAATCTTTGCGCCTCATCAATCAACTGTCGCGTTACAACGACCTTGGTCTTCGCCATATTGGTGTTGATTCGTGCAGCTGAGGGGTCACCGCGATCGGCGTTGGGCGGGGTAGAGCTCGACTTCGTCGCAGTAGCACCGTCACGAGGATCTGGCGAGATGTGATGAGAAACTTGCGATAGTCTTTGCATTGGATTTGGATATGTGTCAAGCCGTTACTGTCTCGAGACATCCATCTTTACAACTTTGCTGCCGGACATCATTGGCCCGAAGCATCCGCCAATAAGCGTTCGAGTAGGGAAGGTGAATCCACCCTCGGATAAGTCGTCTCCTTGCTTTCCAATGCTATCGTGTACCAGGAGATGAAGAGTCCCTTATCAGACGACGTGGAATCCAGGACGTCGAATTGGGCATCTTTGAAGCAACGCCCGTCGCCGCCCACGTGTCGCGCTGGGAAGTGACGCTCCTAAAGTAGCAGGTACAGCCGATGTGCGCCCCACTCCCACCACATCACCTCCTCTCCATCTCTATCTTCATTGACAAGTCTCTCATTCAGCGCTGTAGTTATTCATGATCTTTTATATAAGACAATTTCTTGCAAGTCCACTCAAAACAAGAAGAAAAAGCCACTAAGCCAAAGTTAACATGGAGGAACGAGCGCGCATCCCAGTCGCGCCACCCGTCACCAACCCACTGCCTTCGTACTGGCACGACCCCAAATCTCATCTTGCAAACGTCACTGAGCCAAAAGCTACAACGGCTACACATACCTACGACTATGTCGTCATCGGATCCGGCATCTCAGGCACAATGACCGCCTACAATATCCTCAACACCTGGCCAGACGCACGCGTGGTGATGTTGGAAGCACGTGAAGTCTGTTCAGGCGCCACGGGTCGCAACGGTGGACATACCAAAGCGGCAAGCTACCGCAGCTACACACATCATGTGCAAGAGCTTGGCAAAGAAGAGGCATTAAAGATCGCGAGACTAGAATATGCCAACATTGTTGAGACGCATCGTATGGCGGAGGAACTGGGCTTGAACTGCGAGAGTAAGTTGTGTAACACAGTCGATCTTGTCTACGATAAGCCTACTTTTGAAGCTGGCAAAATGGCTATTCAGATGCTGCGGGTCGATGCAGAGGAGAAGGAGAAGGAAGTGGGAAATGCTGCATGGTACCAGATCCATGAAGACATCGCGGACATACAAAACAAGTTCTCTGTGGCAGCGGAAAACAGTAATCCGACAATCGAGACGAAAGAGAAGCTGGCGGGCGCCTTCGAATACCTAGCCGGCAGAATCCACGCATATCGTTTTACGACCGGGTTGTTGACGAAGTGTGTCAAGAAAGGGCTACAGCTATGCACGAACACGCCAGTCCACGACATCCGTCCCTCGGCGAAATCGGAAAGCGAGGGTGGTAACCGCTGGGATGTGTGTACTCAAAAAAGCACCATCACGTCCAAGAACGTCATCATCACAACTAACGGCTACACACCCTACATTATGAAGGAGCTGCAAGGAGCCATCGTGCCAATGCGTGGACAAATCACCGCACAACAACCAGGAACTTCAACGAAGCTTCCAACTCCACTACCGACAACATACTCATTCATCTACCGCGATGGCTACGAGTACATGATCCCCCGGCCCCTGCCAGACGGAGGACAGCACATCGTTATTGGTGGTGGGTTGGGCCGTCTACCTCAGACCGGTCCGAGCGAGTACGGGACGGTTGACGATAGTACCTTGAAACCAGAGATCTCCAAATACCTCAACGAGAGCTTGACTGGGTATTTCGGCGCCGAGAACTGGGGTGAGACGTCTAAAGAAGAGGCATCGCGCCGCATAGTACAGGAGTGGACAGGAATTATGGGCGCGACGGCTGACGGACGACCGTTTGTAGGCGAGGTGCCAGGTAAAGAGGGCCTGTGGATATCCGCGGGGTTTAATGGCCATGGTATGGTGTTGTGTTTGAAGTCTGCGGAGGCGTTGGTGAAGATGATGGAAGCTGGAAGTATGAATGGGAAACCAGAGTGGTTTCCTGGGAGCTTTTTGATGACACAAGAACGATTGGAGAAGTGCAATTTTCGTGGTCGTACCGATATGCAGGTATCTGACTGATTAATCTGATAAATCATCCGTTACCAGACACTCTGATTCTACTAAAACATACCCAATGATAGTGCAAATATGATGTTCTGTTATAAGATGACATCTTAACGTAACACAGCTCTCGGTAACACACTTCTTTTTCTCTTATGATCTTTGCAGTCCTCCCTTGCCTGTGCGGGTAGGTAACAGCAAATGCAGAAGACTAAACCCCATGCAGCCCCGATCAAGTGTGCCACAGCATAAGCTTTCGGCCTCGATCGCTTCAAGATGTCTTTTCTTTGTGTATATCCAGGTCGTTCCCGCCGGAACCATTGGCACTCTGGACCTAGAGTTCCTTTCAGCTCTTTCACCCATTCTTTCTCAGTATAGAACATGTCGCGTTCTTCATCTAAGCATCCATACGTCGTGTATTCCGGCCGAACCGAGCTGTGAACTTGTCCCGGACGCCTGGTGGCTATCGTAAAGTACACTTTTGCACCCCGTTCCTCGGCTTCAATAATCCAAGGACACACTATTTGACAGATCTTGTGTATCTTCCGTGCCACACGAGGTATGGCTCTGGCTTTGAAGATGGAGATGCCTAACTCGGTGCGGAAGGTGATGTCGAGTCGGAAGTTTGGGGTCCAGGTGCAGTCGGAAAGGGCTTTCAAATCGGATGCGAGTGTTTTGACGCTGACAGAGTCGGAGCTTCCCTTATCCAATGATCCCTTGATAGTTAAATTAGGAAGCTTCGCATCGCGTGGGGTACGTCCCGCTCCGAACATGTCCGCGCTGAGAAATTCTGGGAGCTTGGTCGGCGTACTGATCTTGAAGTGCGGGTACTTTTCATAGAGTATGTCAATCATTTCCGCTGCGAAGGGTGGGTAGAAGAGCGAAATCCAGGGCGGCTCCCAACGCTTAGGTGAGCTGTACTCTACCCAGGCTATTGTGTTATCCCCATAAAAGCGGCCGGAGAATTCCTTGAACTCCTTGAACTCCTCGCGGAACTGCTGGACGTAGATTGTTTCTCGATAGTCTTGCGTGAGAATGCTAGATAAGACCATGTCGCGTATCTCGCGTGGCAGGCGCGTATACGCGGCTTTGGTGATGCCGTACAGCCTGCGCATTGTCAGTAGTTGTTGGTGAGGACGGCTCCATGGGCACATACTCATGATCATCTTGGATCACCTGTGCATCGACTAACATATTGAAGCAGGATACGAATGTGACATGAACGACAGTAGCAGCTCAAGAGACTTCGAAAGACAAAAGATGGTGCCGAGACACGGCACACGGCGAGGGTGGCTGGATGCCTGATCGGTGGCGCAGCAATGCAAAACCGGCAGCGATGGCCGGTTAGATGTATGGAATGCAGGCATTGCTTTCGAGCTTGTCGAGAGCGGCGACTGTCTTTGCGAATACTACTAGAGAAGTTATTGTTGACATGGTATCCAATGTCAGCTACGACGGGTGGCCTATCGAGTCTTTGAGTATACAGCTGGATGGAAGATGCAACAATTGAAGCTCGAACATGACTGAGAAGGAATCGGAGTGGTGACTTCAAAGAGGTATTCGCGACGCACACTTGGGATGAGAATGAATGCTGGTGTGTAGGGATAGCTTGGTCGAGTTGATGGTGCCCCACTTGGCGCGAAACGTCATCAGTGGCAGTGGAACATTCCAAGCCACGAGCCACTGCGCGGCATTCACGAGCCCAGAGCTTCAACAACCGCGACTGCCTTCTACAATCACCAACAAGTCGCACACCACTCTCCTTGTACACAGAACAATAGCCAATATGTCTGAGAAAACTAGCACGGAAAAGGTAAGCGAAAAACAGACGAATGAGGATGGGAGCCCCCACTAATAGCTGCAGCCTCCAGAGAGCCCAACTACGGCGCGTGAGCTCGACTTCGACGATGATAACGATGGCCCGGCATCTGCGACCCAAGACAATGCTACTTCACCCTCACCAGCCTCCAAGTCGCCCAAGCCCGGCGTGCGCTTCAACGAGGAAGCCACAGAGATTCCACCCCAGAAGCCCCCGCGACCAGTCGACCCCCAGGTGCAGGCGCAGAACACGCTGATTGAGGCTTTCCCCGACGTCGACTCTAATGTCGTCAAGGCGGTTCTGGTCGCCAGCGGAGGCAAGGTTGAGCCTGCCTTCAACGCGCTGCTGAGTACGTGGCTGCCTATTTGGTTTATGGTTGTGAGGGGTATAGCTAACCAGCGCAGGCATGTCGGATCCCAACTTCAAGGCCGAGGAGGCTCCTCCGCCCCAACCGCCACGCCCACAACCCCGTAGTCAGCTCGAGCAGGACGAAATATATGCGCGACAACTGGCTCAGCACTACCAAAGTCAAGGTGGTCCAGAGGGCCAGGGCGGTTATGGATCGCGTGGCCAGGGGCAGCGACAACGGCCTGGTGAGCCCGAGCGGGAGCACAGCTTCTTCGATGGTACGATCACGCGACGTCAACATCTCTGCAGCTACTAACACTGAGCCAGACGACCTCCCTGAGATTCGCAAGAACATCGAGCAGGGCTTCGAGGAAACAAAGCAAACCGTCACAAAGTGGATCAGTAACTTCACGAAGAAACTCGACAGCGGCGAGATGGAAGAGTACGACAGGTACGGCAACGTCCAGTACACGGGAAGGCAACCACCACCACAGCAGAGGCAGAACTTCGGCCCATCGCAGTCAGACCAGATGCATGGCATTCGCAAGTCAGCGGAGCAGCGACGGTCGGCAGACCACAACCGCTACGATGCTGACAACCGGGTCATTGGCGACGACTTCGCAAAGCTCGAGTTGAGAGACAACGAGGGTATGCTGGAAGCACCACGCACGTGCAATAGCTGCTAACAACTTACAGGCCCTGGCCCGCGATCGTCAAGTCGCCCGCACGCCAACCCCGACCTCTTCAAGCCCACGCCCGTCTCTCCGCCCCAGAGCGGACCCGTTGACGAGGTCGATGCGCTGTACCGCAACCCATCGCCGAACAACCAGGGCAGCCAGGGTAAATCGAGCGGCAAGAAATGGCAGCCTCTCACCTCAGTCGCACCAAACCCAGAGCCCGATGACCACGACCCCTTTAGCCTTGGCGACAGCGACGATGAGGAGAAGGACGTCAAGAAGCAGGACACAAACCCTGAAGATACCGAGCGGCTAAAGAACGCTGCTCAAAATAGCGAGGGCCCAGCCTCCGGCAAGCTCAAGCCTGCGGAACGAAGTGGCAGCGTCAGTCAGAAGGACGCTACCATGGAGGCATTATTGAAGGAGGCCAAATAAGAAGCCACCTTCCATCGCCTGATGGCTATGGGATGCGCAATACATCCTGAGCATGGAAGCTTGGCATTCCCGTTGTCCGCTGCGAATCAGTAGGTAGGATGAGAATTAACTTTACTTGTTCTATCGACCACATGTGCTTGTTGCAGTAACTTTCCTAGTCATATTTTTGCACACCTATCGCTCTCAGAAAAAACAGGAGATCTGGTGAGGTGGGGATTCTGTCCTTCGTTTGGCCAAATCAAGATCTGTGGCGGACCGAGATGCGTCTATGCGAACGCCTCCTCGATACGACCCTGTCGCCATGCGCGAAAGTTCCCATGGAGTTGCGCGCGCCCACTCACGTGTGTACCAAGCTGAGGTAAGCGTTCGTGTTATGCCGGGTTCATGGGTTCAGAGGTCAGATACACCGCCCCTGGATCCGCGACATGAGTGCTAGATATTGTCAGGTGCATTGCGACATTCTCTGTTGGTATATTGCCTTCAGCCATGAGGCGCCGGGCGACTTTTTTGTGCTGGGCTGATCACGTTAATCAATCCGAGGTGTTTGACTGTGCCAAGCAACCTTGGAAGCTTCCCTCAGCCCTACCGCCAGCAGTCAACCCAGCTGCGAATAACCATCGCAAGCAATCCCCGGGGTTAGGTTCCATTAGATTCCGCCAACCAGGTGCCCATATGAACAGTATTGCTGTTGGACAACATTCGTATCGAGTTCGGGTCCAAAACACCGCCACCGGAGGCTTCCCTCGCATATGTCATAGCCCAATGGCACGTCAACAGGCACCAGAGTCACAGCATACACTCTGGGATATATACTGCTTAGCAATACCTATGGCGATGTTGAGCTTCGTAACATGAATGCATTGGCTGAGAGAATTGAGAGGCTGGATCACGGACCCCCTTGTCAGCTGAAATGTACGTCAGATCTGACCACCAACCGCTCACAGCAGCCAAACTCAGCCTCTCCGCAGCGCGTCGGTAAGCAACTTCACTCGTCACAAGTAGTTCGCGCCAAGTGTAATCCTCCCGCCAGTGGCTGCATGGCGCGACAACTTCATTGACTCTTGGCAGTATCTCTACTCCACGACAATGGTCCTTCGCATCGGTTTGTAACAGCGTGGCTCAGAGTCTGCCTTCTCGTCTGCCTGAATGTAGCCAGGTTCCTATCGTGGAAGGTGTTCACCTGATGGTCAGCTGGGTTATTTTGGGAGAAGAAGAAAATAACCCAGGTATGGACAGATCTCGCGGGCGATGAGGGAGCCTGGGGTCGCTGGGTATAAAGTATCAGGGCTCATGTCACAATCATCATAACTACAACTTCCCCAATTTCCATATCCTCATACACCAACATATTCGTCATGGCGACCTTCATTCCCGTTAAGCTTCCACAGCAGGTTGAAGACGAGGCAGACAACCAGAACTACATCCTCTACTGGAACCATGTCGGCTTGGATCTCAACCGCGTTACACACACCTTCGATGGCCCCCAAACTGGACCCCCAATCTCCGCCAGAGCTCTAGGCATGCTCCAGCTGGCTGTACACGACACCTACTTCGTCATCAAGCCTTCTCCCGACTTCAAGACTTTCTTGTCACTCGACGCTGAAGACGAGAAGTACCGCCTACCCGATCCAGCTGGCGCAGACAATGCTCAGCAGGCGGTAGCAGGAGCAGCTTTCACGATGCTGTCCATGCTGTACATGAGACCTGCTGTGACTCCTGTTCCCGCTTCCATTGCCAACAGCACCTACGATCAGCTCGAGTACATCATCCAGCAGTCGATAACTAACGCACCAGAGGCCGTCGATCCGGCTTCTCCCAGTTTCACCTTCGGTAAGGCAGTAGCCATGAAATTCTTCGACCTGCTTTTCCACCCAGAAGGTGCCAGTCAACAAGGCTATCATCCCACAGTGGGACCTTACAAGTTCGACGATGAGCCCACCCACCCTGTTGACCTCGTCCCCCAGGATGCCAACGACCCCAATGGTCCAAAGGTCCCCAGACGCCAGTACCACGGTCCCTTCTATGGCACGAGGGCCAAGCGCTTCGCGACTCAGAGCGAGCACATCCTTGCTGACCCACCAGCCATCCGCTCCATGTCTGACGAGCAGGCTGAGTACGACGATGCCCTCCGCGAAGTCTACACTATGGGCGGAGCACCTGCCCTCAACACCACCAAGCGCACTCCTCACCAGACCGTCCAGGGAATGACGTGGGCCTACGACGGCTCAAAGTTGATTGGCACACCACCCAGACTGTACAACCAGATCGTCCGCAAGATTGCCGTTCGGTACAAGAAGGATCCCGAGTCCCTGACCAGCGAAGCCAACAACGCTGACTTTGCTCGTCTCCTTGCCCTTGTCAACGTAGCCCTGGCCGACGCAGGCGTCTTCTCCTGGAAGGAGAAGTGGGAATTCGAATTCTGGCGCCCGCTCTCCGGTGTCCGCGACGATATCCTCCGTGACCCCACACGCGTAGACCGTGGCGACCCATTCTGGCTTACCCTCGGCGCCCCAGCTACAAACTCAGATGCCCTTCCCTTCAAGCCGCCCTTCCCTGCTTACCCCTCTGGCCACGCCACATTCGGCGGTGCCGCCTTCCAGATGGTGCGCAGGTACTACAACGGCCGCATCGGAAGCTGGCAGGACGACGCGCCCGACAACATCGCCATCGACTTTGTATCCGACGAACTCAACGGCATCAGCCGCGATCTCCGCCAACCCTACATGCTCGAACGCGAGATCACCGACCAACCCGGTACCGTGCGCACGCGTGTGCCCCGCCAGTTCTCTTCGTGCTGGGAGATGATGTTTGAAAACGCCATCTCGCGCATCTTCCTGGGTGTGCACTGGCGCTTCGACGCCGCGGCCGCAAAGGACATTTTGGTGCCTACCACAAAGAAAGATATCTACGCCGTCGATGACGCGGGTGCTGCTCTGTTCAAGAACCCAGAGGACATCAGGTACAAGACTAGGGGTACGAGGCAGGGTATCGAGGGTGACTACCCCATCGGTGGTGTGCCTCTGGGCATGGAGATTGCGAATGAGATCTTCGCCAACGGACTCAAGCCTACGCCGCCGAACTTGCAGCCTATGGTGCCGCAGATGCCGCAGCCGCCGCAGGATCAAAACCCGGTGCCGGAGGAACCACCCAGGAAGAGGAAGGGGTTGGCGGAGGCGAAGAATGAGGATCAGGTTCCTATGATGGATGTGGAGCCCTAGATGGAGACATGGGAGTGCGTGAAGATTCGGAGCGTTCTCGTTAGTTATGAACTTCAGTCCTTTCCTGTATGGCACAATAGTATCGGAGGTTGATGTAGATTGCAAAATACACATATTGTTTTACTATCATGGGGATGCTGCACCGGTTGCTCAAAGCTTGATGCCGTGAGAGAAGAGAGGAGGCTGGGACGTGTAGACGGCCCTGCCTGGAGGACTCTGATAGGCTGCACAGGGCCGCTCCTGGCCCTATCTGCCAAGACTGCCGCGATCTACAGATGCTGCAGAACCTTCCTAATCAGGTATCTAGCCCTATCTGGCCAATCAGCTTCCGGCCCACGGGGACAGCAGACCCACAGAGCCCTCCCCGCCGCGATCAACAGCTTTTGCAGAACCTTCCTAATCGGGTAGCTGTCCCTGTCGAGCCAATCAAGTCCCGTTCCACAGGAGCAGCGACCCACAGTGCCCTCCTCACCGCATTCCACGGTTTTTGAAAAGATTTCCTAATTGAGTAGCTGGCCCTACAGACAGAGCCCTGGTTGGTCCGGCAGGGACAGAGCCCTTCCTGCTGTGAGTGATGGCTAGCCGCAGTGCCTCCCAAAGTCACGGCAGTTCGCGTGAACCAGAAAAATCAGACTCATGCCCTTGACACCTTTCCATTTGGACGAGCTCATTGCATCGTGCGCATGGGCGCGCAAACCTCCCATCGTCGGACCAGGTGCTATGTTCTATTCCTCATAGCAGTTGGATGCTTCCGCCACGCTGCGAGCGTCGCCAGGAGGGCCACACCACTGATAACTGCGCAAGCCACAAGTGTCTCGTTGAAAGCATCTGAGTATGTCTGGCGAATAGCAAAAACTTTGTTGGGAGGAAGGGTCCGCATAGACTCAGCAAGTGACTCCAACTGCGCGCCCTCTACAATCAGTGGGTCGAGAAGCTCTTGACGCTCCTTAATGCCCAGGATAGCTGTTGACGCGGCAATACCAACGCTACCCCCTAGCACACGCACTTGCGCCATCAGGCCTTGTGCGACTGCGGTGTCGCGTGGCTCCGATTCAATGCCAGCTAGTAGAGTCGAATTGCTGACTGTCAATCCGAAACCCAATCCGACAAAAACCTGTAGACCATAGGCTCGAGCTTGAGGGGCGAAAGTGTTATCGAGTGTAGACAAGGTTGCGGTTCCAATAAGCATAAGGGCAGCACCAATGACATTGACCGCAAACGTGTTATTCTTCTTACTCGACGCCGCACCAGCGAGAGTCGATCCGATGGCAGAAGAACCAAGCATTGGTAGCAAAGCGACACCAGATCCAAGAGCACTCTTCCCGTTGACGACCTGGAAGCGCGTTGGCAGCGAGTATATGATGACGAAGTAGGGGAAGCCTATCAACAACGTCGTAGCGAGTGCAGACATGTAGACCCTGTTCTTGGCTAGTCGCATTGGGAAGAGTGCAGCAATCGCGTCAGGCCAACGTCTTGCAATAAACCACTCCCAAGTGAAGAGTGCGGCAAAGCAGAGCACACCAACGATGAGCGGAGCAACGAAGAGGGCAGACGACCAGATGGAGCTGTTCATGAGGACATGGATGCCGGCTTGCTGGAACGCAATGACAAAGGGCACGGAAGCAGCGACCAAGAGAAGGAAGCCTAGGAAGTCGACCTGTTTGAATCTGCGACGACTAACGCCGTGAATAAGGGCGTCGTTGGACCAAACCAGTACGAAAAGGATCAAAGGAATGATTCCGATCGGGGCATTGATCCAGAAAATCCACCGCCAGGATGTGT